GGTCACAAAACAAAGAAAGCCACAATTAACACTAATTGGTACCTTCCTTGATGTTTGGTCAGGGAGAATGAACCATTCCTTGCCTTCCTGGAGGCAGTCACTCCAGGTCAGGGGAAGAAGCCTGGGGGGATGTCGCATGGCTCACAGGACCTTCCTGCCAACGGGAAATCTCGAATCCAACCCAATTCACACTGCCTGAGGACTACCTGCTTTGTACAGGATGTTTCTCCTTGGGTGGCCAAATGTCCGCAAGGAGTGAGCACACGTAGACGAGCCAGTGTGCACTCCATGGGCCTTGAAGCCATTTGCTCATTTCCCTTTAATCAAAACCTTCTGCTCTTGTGTTTTCTTTTCTGTTTGGTGACTGAAGCGAAGCTTCATGTGCCTTCACGTGGGAGTTAAGTGGGTCAGTGGGATGCTTTGTTCGTGGCAGCTCTCACGTGGAAAAAGTCCGATGCAAAATGCTGAGGCTTGGCAGGAAAGTGCCAATTAAAGATAGCGGTGCGGGAGCACATTGTGTGAGCTGAAAGTGCTCAGATCTGGGGCTGTGACAACTGCCACGTGCAAAGGGAAGAACGAGGAATTACTAAATTTCATGTTGATCTGAAGTACTTGTGCTTTCCCTGTCTCAAGTGTTGTTCTCATGCAGCATGGACGAGGAGTTTATTCCCTGTTTCCCAGGTAAGTGAGGGTAGAAGAGCTGAGTCACACAGGGGCCCTGTGCCAGAGGAGGATCAGCTGCACTCTCAAGTTGGGTACTTGGACTTTGCCTCATGTTGGCCCATGGTATTTGTGCCAGCAGCTGTCCAGCCTTCTCCTCAGCATGGCACAAGGCTGTACAGGTGATGTGCCAGGAGATGGCAAAGGGAGAGATCCATTGTTACATGAGTCAAGTGAAGCTGTTCTCCCCCTCAGCCATGCAAGCAGTCAAGTTGGGACAGCACATAAAGAAAATGTGGCTAAGTCTGCATAGCAGTGTGCTCAACTCTAGGAAAGCAACCCAGGGACAGCCAGGCTTTGACACTGCTGTCCTCTGCTGTTAAGGGCAGCTACATCATCATACTGTCATTCATAAATAAAAACATTTCTCCCTGAAGCACCAGGCTCTCAGATTCCTGAGCAGATGTTGTGCAAAAGGGCCCTGAAGGAAAGGGGAAGAGCAAGTCATTCAGGTATAGTCAGTGTTTCTGCTGAAATAGTCCATCCATCTGCTTCCCACTAGTTTTATTGACATGTTTTTATTTGAATGAGCAATGTTTGTAACTGAAAGCTAGACTATCCTTATATTTCTATATTTAAAAAAGCTTTCTGACTTTGCTTTGCCCTTACTTAAAGCTTTTTGTGCCCTTGCTGCAGATGTCCATAAGTTCATGTCTTTTTTTCACCTTGGGGATGGATTGTGCTTTGTTTTGCACGTTTATAAGCACACAGCTCCTTGTGTCCAACCTTTCTTAGCAAGCAGGGAGCAGTGTACTTTGCAGTGGACTGATTAGAGAGATACCTGCAGCTTCACTGGGAACAGTATCCTCTCAGGAGACTTTTCCACTGCACTGGTCTCTTTGTTTTGGAGACAGGTAAGTAAATGGAGATCTTTCAGAAATGACAGCATAGTAAAAAGTTCCTTTTTTAGGTATGTTATGGATAAAGGTACTGCCAAATGCCTGCTGCTGAGCCACTGGTAGTGAAGGACTGGTCAAGCAGTCTCTTGGGATGGCAGCAGCTCCTCCATTTAGAGAGTCCTCTCTGCACCCCAGGATGAATCCCCAAGGGCTCCTTAGCAATAGCACAGTTGCTACCTAACCATAACTTTGGAGAAGCCGAGGTATCCCTGCAGACTGGATTCCATCCAGAAGCTTAGATCTGGTTGCCCTTGGGGTATTCTGCCGTGCCTTCACGGTGTTTCCATTGGGAACTGTCACAAGCGATGGATGTGCAGCTCTGTCACAGATGTGCCAGAACTAATGCAGAGTGATGGCCCTGGGAAAGCTGATGGATTGTGCCACGGAATCGAGAGCAGAATTAAAGAATACTGAGATTGATGTTAAGAAACCTAAAGGCCAAGAATCACAAGAATGCTTTCACCTCCTACTTTTAAAAAGTTGGAAGAAAACCTGCAGGTTGCAATGTATTTTTGACTTCTTTTCCTAATGAAAACAAGGCTTATGTGACCAGTCTGTCTGTCTGCTTCTAGTCAGCTGTCAGGCTAACCCCCTCCTTTTCCCTTCTCACTGTTTAGGGGGGAGGAAGCAATCTCAAATTTCATGACAATGGAAGAGAGAAATAATCATTGCCAGCCTCGGGGAAGGCAGGAGGGAGCTCGGGCGTGGTGTGATCCCTTGTGATGGAGGCCTGCCCTTCCATCTGCACGGGGATAGAGCCCTGGACTAACCCACCGTGCCACCGAGGCATTTTGGAGGCACGGGACACACAAAGGAAGGTAGGGCTGCTGAGAGAGCAGGCGGATTAGAGGGACAAAGGACACAGACCTGTGAGAAAGCAGGCATCATTAGTGCTGCTGCTCATGGAACAATGTCTTGAATGTAGGCATAAACTGTTCTAAAAGTCTCTGCAGGGAGCAAGGAAACAGTTATGTAGTAAGAGGGGAAAAAAATCCAAATATTAGAGCTGATTATGTGACAAATGTATTTCTGTGCAGACTTTACCTGCTTTAAAATAAAAATGTGAAGAAAACGCATAAAGACCATGCCCACAATCTGCCAGTTGCACAAGGAAGCTTTTAGGTTTTGTGCAGTTGTTGTCCCCTGAAGTCTTGCAACAAAAAAGAGAATAAAAGTCATATTTTCTGTGAAGTTTTACCTAGGAGGGGAGAAAAAAAAATACTTTAACCTATGCGAGCTGCATTTCTCAGCATTTCTTTACAAAGCTTTAGGCTGCCAAACAGTGAATGAAGAATCACCAGAAGTAAGAATCTGTGGAAAAAGGGCAAACATACAATTGTATCAGAAGGCAGCTTTGAGAGATTTCCAAAGTAAATGCTTCTTCATTGTAATACTGAAGGGAATAAATTCACAGCAAATGTGAGACACGCAATAATAAATATGTGATACAAAGTTATTGATTTCTTACTAAAACTAAACAAAATATTGCTTATCAAAATAACTTATTGCTTATCACCTAACTTACTACTATTCCGTTTTTATCTCATTTTCTTTTTCAAAATGAGGAAGGTATTTTGTGAAGGTATTTTGGGAACAGAGCAGGAGCTATCTAGACTCTCGGAGAGAACTTTGCCTGTAGTTCTAGCAGATCCAGACAAAGTGGGATGATTGGTCCTTTGTTAATGTACCCACAGTCTCTGTCCTCAGCTTCTGTTGGGAGGCTGCAAAACAGGAGAAGGACAAAACGCTGGAGGAGTCCTGTTTGCAGAAGTGCCCAGCCAGGGAGGGGAAACGTTCTGCAGGGGCTGTGCTGAGGCAGAGCTGTTGTACCTCTGCTGTGGGTAGTGCTTAGCCAGTTAGGGCTCTCAGGGGATTAGCTGCTGCCTGGGGGTGAGAACCATGGTAATTTCTAAAGCTGGTTTGTAATCACCTGCTTTCAGTTTACTCAGACCTGGCATCCTTTTAAGCACTAATATCCCCAGCTTTCTCTTGACATCTGTGCAGCCGGTTCCAGACTACGCTCAGGCTGTGCCGATGGCTTCACCCAAAGCAGCAGTTAGCTATTGCTCTGCAACTGATGGCAAAAAAGAACAAGCTGAAAATCGTGGATTATTTGGAGGGAGCTTGCCAAAAGTCACTGCTGTGCCACAGCTGTGAGCCAAGGAGAAGGGTGTTATTATTTCATGAAGTTGTGAATGAAAATCGATCCTTTGTTCCACATATGCTCTCCCACGTTGTGATGGCTCAGCCTCGGTGCTCGTTGGGAACTGCAGTGTTATGGAGTCAGCTGCCTTCCACAGCTCAGAGGACGAGGGCAGTGGTGGTTTGAGGGGACATGGAGGTTCAATCCCCACAACCAACGGGAGAACAGCAGTCATGAGCCCAGGGAACAAGATGGCCAAATACATGGTGGAAAAGAGCTTCTGCACAGGGCATTTATTTCCCATTCCTACCTCAGTTATAGAGTGGGAGTACTGCGAATTTTTCCATGAAGGAGAAAGAAGTAGTTGCTTTTAAATGCAGCTTTTAAACTAAAGTTGCAAAAAACAGACATGGAGTGGGTCTAGCGGGAGGGCAACAAAGATCATTAAGAGACTAGAGCATCTCTGGTATGAGAAAAGGCTGAGAGAATTGGGCTGTTCCACCTTGAGATGACAGAGAGGACTTCACCCATGTGTATAAATATCTAAAGGGGGATGTCAAGAGATCCAGGCTCTGCTCGGTGGTGCCCAGCAACAGAAGAGGCAACAGGCAGAAACTGATGCACAGGAATTTCCGCCTGAACGCGAGGAAGAACTTCTTATTGTGCAGTGACCAGGCACTGGAACAGCTTGTCCAGAGACAGTGTGGAGTTTCCCTGACTCCAGAGCCGTGCCACGTGCTCTGGGACGGCGGTGCTGGAGCAGGGAGGTGGGACAGGTGTCCCGCAGCGTTCCGTCCAGGCTGCCGCCCGCGGTGCTTCCGTGGCTGCTCCCGGGCCCCGCGGAGGAAGGCACGCGCAGCCCGCGGGCTCCTCCCACAGCCTTTGGGCCTGTCCCCGGCCGGAGCAGCAGCCGGGAGCCCGGCAGGGGTTGGAGGCCGGTCAGCGGGGACGGGGCCGTGGCATTCCCAGGAACAGGAGTGGCACTCCCAGGAACAGGAGTGGCATTCCCGGGCACACGCCTGTCCGCGCTCCCGGGCCCGGCTCCCGGCGGGCGGGGTCGCCATGGCGACCGGGCGCGCGGTAACGGTTCCCGCGCATGCGCACGGCGCGCGCTGACCTCACCGCGGTACCAGCGGCCGCAGGGCGGCGCC